CTATGGCGGACTTGTTGATTCTCCGGAGCAGTCGTTCTCGGCAGTTTCGGAGGGGTCGTGCCAGGGTTTCGGTTTCCGCTGGTCGAGGTGGGCCTTTGGTGCCGGTTTCTGAGCCGTTGTTCCCTTTGGGGCCAGCGTCGTCTGGGCGGCGCAGTGTTCGCCCTGTTCGACGGTTGGGTTCTCGTGCGGGGCGTCGGCCCTTTCGCAGTTTGCCCCGTTGACGGGGCGATGGGGGGGAGGCTCGCTCTGTTTGCCCACACTTGGTCCCACGATTTGTGGGCCTTTTCGGTCGTGTCATCCGGCCTGCGGTGGCGTTGGGCGACTCGTCCTCCTTTGGGGGGTTCGGGGCTAACAGGGCAGGTCTCTTCTCCTGCGCTTCGTCAAGTCATCTTGGAGTGGGTGCGCTTGGGCGTGGTCGAACCGACTACGTCCCTCAGGTGGGTTTCCCGCCTGTTTCCAGTGCCGAAACGGGACTGTGCGGATCTGAGGTTCATTCTGGACTTGTCCCGTCTGAACCCCTGGATTCCTTGCCCCTCCTTTCGGATGACTACTCTGTCTCAGGTCCGGCTTCTGTTGGAGCCGGGTGCCTGGATGGTGTCCCTGGACCTAAAGGACGCGTATTGGCACGTTCCTATTCATCCGGGGTTCAGGGACTGGTTAGGCTTCGTGGTAGGGCGTCACGCTTACCGTTTTCGATGCCTACCTTTTGGCCTGAATCTGGCACCTCGCGTTTTCACGCGTCTGACCCGAGTTGTGGTGACCCGTCTGCGTCTTCTCGGGATTCGGGTTTTGGCCTACCTCGACGACTGGCTGGTGTGGGCTCCCAGTCGGTCAGCTTGTCTGCTCGCCAGGGATTTGGTTCTTTCCCAGCTCGCCAGGTTCGGGTTCCTGGTGAACTGGAGGAAGTCCCATCTGGTTCCGTCCCAGGTTCGGACCTGGCTGGGTCTTGTTTGGGATTCTCGGACCGCTTCCTTGTCTCTACCTCCGGTGGCGTTGCGACGGCTGCGGGACCGCCGTTTGCTGTTTCTGAGAGGGTCCCGGGTCACTCGGCGGTTGCTCGAGCGGTTGTGCGGGAGTCTGAACTTCGCCATGCTAGTCTACCCGCCGGGTCGGGTTTGGCTTCGGCGTCTGTTTTGGTTCCTTCGGGGACGTCCTTTCCGCCTCTCTCGCGATCGTTGGGTTCGCCCTCCGGGGGTCTTATGTCGGTTGCTGCGTCACCGTCTTCCTCTTCGGATTTTTCGGGGTTCGGTGCCTTGGCGCCTTCCCGAGCCCTCGCTCGATGTGTTCACGGACGCGTCGTCTCTCGGCTGGGGCTTTGTGACCAGTGCTCACCAGGCAGGCCAGGGTCGGTGGGGTCCGTCCTTCCATCGGGCTCACAGCACGGTTCGGGAGTTCGCGGCTGTCTGGTTCGCGCTTCGGAGGGTTCGGGTCGCTCGGGGATCGACCATTCGCCTCCATTCGGACTGTTCTCCGGTGGTTCATTGCCTGAACCGCGGGGGTTCTCTTCGGTCCTTGGCTCTTTGGGGTTGGTCCCTTCGAGTGGTTCGTCTGCTGGATTCTCGGGGTTTGGCTCTCCGTGCGGTTCACGTCCGGGGAGTGTCCAACGTTCTGGCGGACGGTCTGTCTCGCTTCCTTCCCCTGTCCACGGAATGGACGGTCGACGACGACTCGTTTCGTTGGATCTGTCAGACGTACGGTCTCCCAGATGTGGACCTCTTCGCGTCGGCGTGGTCCCGGCGTCTCCCTCTATATGTGACGCCCTTCCCCGACTGCGAGGCGTTCGCGGTGGATGCTTTTCGGCAGGACTGGTCGAGGTGGGGTTACCTGTACCTTTTTCCTCCGGTCCAGCTGTTGCTTCGGGTTCTGGTTCGGTTAGAGACATTCCCGGGGAGAGTAGTCCTCGTGGCCCCTTGGTGGCCGGCCCAGCCTTGGTTTCCGGTGCTTCTGGCTCGGTGCCCGAACCCGGGACGTTTCCCGCGGCTCCGCCTCTTTCAGCAGGTCGGCCCGATCCGGTACGGGGCTGGTTCGACCTTCTCCTCTGCTCTTCGCGTCTGGTCTTTTTGACGCGGGTGTATCACCATTTCTATGGTGATCAGGTGGCTTCTTTGATGGTGTCCCACCTGAGAGCTTCGTCTAGGCGACAGTATGAAGTTTCCTGGCGTTCCTTTCGCCATTTTCTGGCTCTTCGTAGGTTGTCTTTTCTCTCGGATCGGGTTGTTTTGTCCTTCCTTACTTGGCTTTTTCAGGACCATCATTTGATGCCTAATACTGTCGCCTCGTATCGTGCGGCGCTGGCGGAGCCGCTCCAGCTCGCTTTCGGGGTGGACGTCACATCCGCCCCGTTTCGTAAGCTTTCCCGTGCTATGTTTCACCTCCGGCCTGCTCATGCGCCGCCTGAGCCGTCCTGGTCCTTGGACAGGGTGCTCTCCTATCTTTCCTCTCCTCGGTTTGTGGTGGCCCCTTCGGTTCCTGATTGTTTTTCCAAGGCTTTGTTTTTGTTGGCATTGGCCTCTGGGGGCCGGGTAGGGGAGCTTCATGCTCTCCTCCGGCGCAGGGGTTACTGCTCTTTTGGTCCTGGGGGTAGGTTTGTCCGTTTGCAGCCTTCTCCGTCCTTTCTGGCAAAGAACGAGACGGCTGCTTTCCGGAGGGGTCCGTGGGTCATTGATGCTTGGTTGGTTCGGCCGGGGGTGCATCATGTGTTGTGTCCTGTTGCTGCACTTCGCCGTTACCTGCGCGCTTCGGCCGGAGTGGCTGGGGATGCGCTTTGGGTTGATCCGGTTTCCCTCGTTCCCTGTTCCAGGGCTCGGGTCTCCCAGGTTGTCCGCAGGGTTATTAAATCTAGCCAGCCTGCGGTCTATCCTCGCGCCCATGACGTTAGGAAGTTTGCGGCTTTGGCTGCTGTGTTTGGTAATATGTCTTGGGCTCATATTCGGGCGCGTGGATTTTGGAAGTCGAACAGGGTCCTGGCCGCCCGTTATTTGGTGAATGTCCCTGCTCCTCGTCGTTCTTGTGTTGCTTTGGGTCGCAGGTTGCAGCCAGTTGTCTCGACTTCGAGTTGAGGAGTTTGTGGCCACCGCCTCCCGGGTAAGTCCCATTTTTCCTTCTCTTTGGGTATGTAGCTCCAGGGAGCCGTAGGGGCTCCCCCCAGAAAACCAGCGTTGAATGTAATGAAACGCCATTTTCTGGGTGAGCCCCGGAGGCTCCCTGGTTACCCTCCCTCCCATCCGGTCGGCGGGGTTTTTTCGCGTTGGTTGAAGCCTAGTTTCCGAACTGACGGCAGCCGGCGCGGTGAGGTCCGGGGCCCCCCCCTCCCCCTCCCGGGGAGGGGAGGGCTGCGCGGACGACCGGCGCGGCAGTAAATTGATTGTTTGATTGTTTTCCTTGGGATTGTAGGGAGTTTTCTACCTCTCTGTTCGGTTTTTGTTGTAGTTTTTTACCATGTGGGGTTTGTTTTGTTACGCCTACCTTTCTGGGTGCCTAACCCCGGTCGATGGCAGATAAGGAAAACCCCCAACCATATGGGGTTTTCCAGGGCCATTGCTCCCTGAAACCTCTCTGAAGGGGCCAGGTTCTGGCGCTGGTCCCTGGTAGGTCTGAACTCCATAGCTAATGTCCCGGTCTAACATAACACACATTAGCCCGATAAGCTCCAGGGAGCCTCCGGGGCTCACCCAGAAAATGGCGTTTCATTACATTCAACGCTGGTTTTTTGGAGCGTTGGATTCGTTGCAAGAGGTGACCTTCAGGAGGCGTTTGTGTCAGTGTCTTTTTTTTTTCTTGTACACAATAAAAATGCATTACAGAGCACCACTTGGTTTCCGAACCCCTTGTGGACGAGACCCGTCGGTTATCGTGTAAGGTCGTAAACGAGAATGGAGGAAAATGGACAGAGAATTTTTTTTGATGCCACACCTGTGACAGGACAAACTATGCTTTTCTTGAAAAAACAGCACCATCTGTTGCATGTAAGAGCAACATACATGCTATACTAGATATGTTACAATTCCATATCAATGTTTCTGATTGCACTGATAAATTGAATTTTCATAGATTTTTATTTATTTGTATTTTTATTTAATTATTTTGTGAGAATTTTGTTGGAATTGAGCTGTGTTGTTTACCAGACTGTTCATTTCATGAGTATAGTTTATTTTTTATTTTTTTATTTTTTCATATTTTCATTTCACTTTTTAACTGTTTTTCTTATATTTCAGTGACGGGAACATCAGATCACTTGGGAATGCAACGGATGAGGGAGTGGGGAATGGTGGGGATGACGAGGGGGCAGGGAAGTTTGGGAAGGTGGGGACGAGGGGATGGGGAAATGGAGAATGGTGGGGAGGACAAAGGGACAGGGTAGTGGGGGCATGGTGGGAAGGAAGAGGGGATGGTGAAGTGGGGAATGGTGGGGAGGACAAGGGGACGGTGGAGTGCGGAATGGTTGGTAGTCCAAGGAGAAGGGTGAGGGGGGTATGGGTGGGGAGGACTGCGGGACAGCAAAGGTTGCTGTAGTTCTGCGTTGCTGAGCCACAGCAACGCGTGGCCGGGTACTGCTAATTAGATAATATAGAGATAAATCCTAGCTCCATTAGGTACTTAAAGATCAATACACTGTGATCACTCATTCCCAAGGGTGCTTCCAACTTAACTTCCCTTATACCCCACTCATTTAGGGTAAATATCAGATCAAAATATCAGATGAACCATGGCTGGTTCATCTTCCCCTCCCATTCATGTCGGTCCTTACAAGTCCTTGTCGGTAATGTGTTAACGCTTCTGTAGATGTAAAGTCAGGAAAGAATGTGTGAGGTGCTTGTGTGTTGAGTAGTGTTAAGAATTCAGTAATAGAGGTGGCACAAGATGTTAAGATGTTGGATAAAGGTTCGGTACAGCTCTCGTCTTGTGTGGAAATAAATTACAGTTGTACTTTGTAAATTTTGTAATTTGTCTTATTAATAATTTGTTCATCAGTTATAGTTTACTAGATCTTTTGTTTTCAGTTACCCAAAAAGGCAAGTTCTACTGAAAATTGTTTACCTTGGATGGGACTACCAAAGTTGTGCTTCTCAAGAAGACATACAAAAGACTATTGAAGACAAACTGCTGCAGGCTCTACTAAAGATTACATTAATAGATGCTCTTGACACTTCACAATTTCACAGGTAGAAATATTCTTTCACCTAAAATTGTACAATTTGCTTCAGATCATTAGGGTATCAATATTTATACTTCCTACTACATAATGAAATTTTTTGATATGTGTATTTATTGACCTTCATTAACCACTGCACTGCTCTGCATTAAAATATGACAAGCCCATAGTGCACTAAAAATAAATTCTTTCAAAAAAATTATTTGCTCCTATATTGTTAAAATACAATCTGATCACAGGAAACTAAAACAAAATATTGTACGTGACATACTTTAGCCTCAATGGAGCTGGGAAGTTGAGCAAGTTATGGGTGCTGTGTGATGGAGCGCTTGGGGTCAGTCAGCCCCCCCCCCACCCCATGGGGCAGCAGTTGCCGGGAATATAATGTTTCACAATTATTTTGTTCTTTCTTATTTCTTTCTTTTTTGTTTTTTCCTGTAATACTCAAAAGTGTATAATTTGTGGAAGTTATATAGTTCAATATGTGGAACATCACTATGCTCAAAATTATGGTATTCTTATGTGACATGTATATTATATTATATTCTGCAATCAATCAGTGTTTCTATGGGGAGCAGACACGGCTCCCTGGAGCTTATCGGGCTAATGTATGCTATATTAGACCGGGACATTAGCTATGGAGTTCAGACCTACGAGGGACCATGAGCCAGAACTTGGCTCCTTCAGAGAGGTTGCAGGGAGCAATGGCCCTGGAAAATCCCCCTGTGGTTGGGATTTTTCCTTATATGCCATTGACTGGGGTTAGGCACCCAGAAAGGTAGGCATTACAAAACAAACCCCACAAGGTAAGAAACTAACAACAAAAACCGAACAGAGAGGTAGGACTCCCTACAATCCCAAGGAAATAAACAAAATAGCAAATGTAACACACTACTGCCGCGCTGCTCGTCCATGCAGCCCTCCTCTCCCCGAAAGGGGGAGGGGGGCCCGGACCTCACCACGCCGGCTGCATAATAATAATAATAATAATAATAATAATAATATATTTAGGAACAGTATATACATAGTTGCAGAGTTATAGTACAAACATTCTGTTAGATTTAAAGATAGAGGTAGTACATACAATACCTAAAGCCACTAGTACACATAGGATTTTGGCCAAGGAGAGGTGAAGAAAAAAACACTTAGACTAAAACTTAATAGTAATTGAGCTTAAAGTATAAATTGTGTTGAATGAAAAAAAAATAATAAAAGATAAAAAAAAGGGGGAACATGGTAGAAAATAGCCCATATACAAGTTGGTCAACAAACAGCATATCTGGGGGGAGCCCCGTTGGCTCCCCGGAGCTTTACCAGGCTGATATGCTAATGTCAGACTTTGGCATCAGTCATGTGTATGGAGTTCTAGGGCCTACCGGGGACCACGGCCAGAACCTGGGCCCCCCTCAGAGAGGCACTTTGAGCCTTGGTAGGTGGCAATGCTCTCGTTTGTTTGCTCCCGGGGAGCCCCGGGGCTGCCTCGTTTTGGTTCGTGTTGGGACTTGGGGGTGTTGGTTGCTTCGGTTCCTTCCACACCCTCTTTGTCTTTCCCCTGGGTCCCCCCCCTTCCTGCCTACATCCGGTTTCTTACCGTCTGTGGGTTCGGGGCGGGGTTCGATGGTTTTGAGACTCGGGCAGTCTCTGGGAATTCCCCTTCCGGGATAGTGACGGGGGCATTCGAGCCTGTTCCTCCAGCTGTGTTGTAAAAGTCTGCCAGTGGGCTCCCTTCCTTATTATTTTTGCGGCTGTACTGGTTTTCTGGTACGGCCGGGGAGTTGGGGGGATGGCTTGGCCCCGGGGCCTGTCGTGTGGGTTCCCGGGGCTGGGGAGTGGCTGATTTGGGGGGGCCCTTGGCCGCGTAGGACCCCGCGGTGGGCTTTTCCCCCCCTCTAGGCGGGGCTTGTGGTTACGCAGAGTGGGTTTTTTTCCTCCCCCCTCGCCGTACGTGTTGTTGGGCGTCGGCCCCTCCCCGGGCTCGGTTCCTTGTACTTTGAGTCGGTTGGTTCCGTCCTGTAAGTGGATGGTCCCCCCTTTTTGGGACGGTGTCTTTGTCATGTTTCCCCATTCTTGGGGTTCTACATGACTTTTCGTCTCGGGTGCGACTGTGCCTGTGTGTGGCTTCGGGACTGGTGTTTGCTTCTGTGTTCTCGAGGGTTCGGAAAGGTTTTTGCTACTTCTCGTTTTATTGGAACGTCTGTCGGCTCCTAGTCTGGGTCGCCGTATTGGGCTACTTGTAGCCCAGTTGGGCTACTCGTGGCCCAGTTGGGATCCCTTTGGGCTCCTTGTCTTTGCTTAGTTGGCCGGTTTTGTTGTTCCTGCTTCCTCTTTTAGCTCCTGTCCAGTGTGATGGGGGTGTTTTTTCTACTTCGCGGTTCCCTAAGGTTGCGTTCTGTTTGGCTACTTTTCTTGCACAGTAGTCCTGGTTGGCGCCTTCCCGCAGAGCGGGTTGTGTGATTCGGCCAGCGTGTCCTGTGCATGCGCCGTGGGAGTTTGTTTTAGTCTGGGCAGTGTTTCAGTGCTGGTGTTTTGCGCCCTTTTCTGTGGGGAGCCCCTATGGCTCCCTGGAGCTTATTGGGCTAATGTATGTTATGTTAGACCGGGACATTAGCTATGGAGTTCAGACCTACCAGGGACCAGCGCCAAAACCTGGCCCCTTCAGAGAGGTTTAGAGAGGTTTCAGGGAGCAATGGCTCTGGAAAACCCCATATTGTTGGGGGTTTTCCTTATCTGCCATCAACCGGGGTTAGGCACCCAGAAAGGTAGGCGTAACAAAACAAACCCCACATGGTAAGAAACTATAACAAAAACCGAACAGAGAGGTAGAAAACTCCCTACAAAACAAAGGAAACAATCAATCAATCAATTTACTACCGCCTTCCCCTCCCGGGAGGGGGAGGGGGGGCCCCGGACCTCACCACGCCGGCTCCCTTCAGTTCGTAAGCTAGTGTCAACCGGGATAGACGCTTCTAAGGCCTAAAATTCCTGGGTGGTGTTTGCCTCGTGTGGCGTTCTCTGCTGTTTTTGTGTGGTGTGCGGTGGCCAGGAGTACTTCATCAGTGCTGGGGCTGCATGCGCTTAGGGGCTTCCTTCCCTAACGGCCCTGTGAGTACTGCCCTTGCGTGTCAGGTTATCTTTTCTGGGGCGTTCAGGAACCGCTCCCGTAGAGGTTCTTGCTGCTCGGCATTTGCCTCGCCCTCGGGGCCAGCTGGGGCTTGGGGCCCATGTTTGGCCTTGGATAGGAAGTGGTATTGTGCTGGTTAGGGCGTCAAGGTGTTGCGCGGCCTGCCACCTAAGCGGCGACCGGTTCCTGTTGCCTCTGGAGACGGTGTACTTTTGCAAGGTTTTTCTTTTGTTTTGTTTTTGTTTGCCTGGTGGAGGTTCTGCCTCGTGGGTCTATAGTTCCCCCTGGTATTGTTTTGGTGGCCCTCTGCTAGGCCCCCGTGCTTGTACACGTCCCAGGGGTTTTCAGTATTATCATTTAACCCTTGTTTTGTTTGGGTTTCTTAACCGGTTAGCAACACCTTGCCTGGGCTTCTCGTAGTTGCTAGCCTACGGGTCCTGGAAACCCCTGTCGGGGCTCAGGGACCCATGGATGCGTCTCCCGAGTACCAACCTGCCTTGTGCGGGTTTGAAGGTTGCAGTGTGCCCTTGTCTCCGGGTGACAGTCACCTGTTTTGCCTCCGTCATGCTGCCTGTTGGGTCAGTGACACCTTTGACTCGGAGTCTTGCGAGTCATGTTCTCTGCTTGTGCTCCAGTTTTACTCTGAGGATGTTCCTGTTAGGGTACAGGCAACATCAGCGTTGCATGTTAGGTTTAGGTTATTGCAACGCGCTAGGTTGGTTTCCCACCTGAGGCTGCCCTCAGGAAGACAGTGGCGTGGTGATGTGTGACGTCATACTAGTTTGCTTGTTTTCTGTTGAGGAATTCTATCCACTAGTTCGGCTTTAGGTAGCAATTTTAACGAGAATAGGGGTTTGTTTTGGAATGCTTACCTTTCTGGATGCTTGACCTACCTACCTACCTTGAGGCTACCTTGAGGTGCTTCCGGGGCTTAGTGTCCCCGCGGCCCGGTCGTCGACCAGGCCTCTTGGTTGCTGGACTGATCAACCAGGCTGTTAGACGCGGCTGCTCGCAGCCTGACGTATGAGTCACAGCCTGGTTGATCAGGTATCCTTTGGAGGTGCTTATCCAGTTCTCTCTTGAACACTGTGAGGGGTTTGCCAGTTATGCCCCTTATGTGTAGTGGAAGCGTGTTGAACAGTCTCGGGCCTCTGATGTTGATAGAGTTCTCTCTCAGAGTACCTATTGCACCTTTGCTTTTCAACGGGGGTATTCTGCACATCCTGCCATGTCTTCTGGTCTCATGTGGTGTTATTTCTGTGTGCAGGTTTGGGACCAGCCCCTCAATTATTTTCCACGTGTAAATTATTATGTATCTCTCCCGCCTGCGCTCAAGGGAGTACAGATTTAGGCTCTTTAGTCGGTCCCAGTAATTTAGATGTTTTACTGAGTGGATTCTAGCAGTAAAGGATCTCTGCACGCTCTCTAGGTCAGCAATTTCTCCAGCTTTGAAAGGGGCTGTCATTGTGCAGCAGTACTCCACTCTAGATAGCACAAGCGTTTTGAAAAGTATCATCATCGGTATAGCATCTCTAGTGTGAAAAGTTCTTGTTATCCAACCTGTCATTTTTCTTGCAGTTGTGACGGCTACTTTATTGTGTTCTTTAAAGGTAAGGTCTTCCGACATGAGTACACCCAGGTCCTTTACATTGCCTTTTCGTTCTATGTTATGATTTGCCTGCGTTTTGTACGTGGTTCCTGTTTTTATGTTTTCAATTTTTCCGTAGCGCATGAGCTGAAACTTATCCTCGTTGAATACCATATTATTTTCTGTAACCCATAGAAAGACCTGATCAACATCTGATTGGAGGTTTGCCGTGTCCTCTATGTTGCCAACTCTCATGAAAATCCTAGTGTCATCTGCAAAGGATGATACAGTGCTATAGGTTGTGTTCTGGTCTATGTCCGATATGAGGATGAGAAAAAGTACTGGAGCAAGCACAGTACCCTGGGGGACTGAGCTCTTCACGGTTGATGGGCTGGATTTTATTTTGTTGACTATTACACATTGGGTTCTGTCAGTCAGGAAATTGTAGATCCATCTGCCTATTTTCCCGGTAATTCCTTTTGAACGCATTTTATGTGCAATAACACCATGGTCACATTTATCAAAAGCTTTTGCGAAATCTGTGTAAATTACATCAGCGTTTTGTTTGTCTTCCATAGCATCTAATGCCATATCATAGTGGTCCAGCAACTGCGACAGGCAAGAGCGCCCTGTTCTGAAACCATGTTGTCCGGGGTTATGGAGATGCTGTGATTCCATGTATTTTGTGATCTTACTTCTTAGCACTCTCTCAAAAATTTTTATGATGTGCGATGTTAGTGCTATCGGTCTGTAATTTTTTGCCTCTGCCTTATTTCCTCCTTTATGGAGTGGTGCTATCTCTGCTGTTTTTAGTATGTCAGGGATAACGCCAGTATCTAGGCTTTGTCTCCACAGAATGTGAAGGGCCTGCGATAGTGGTTTTTTACAGTTCTTGATGAATATGGAGTTCCAAGAATCCGGGCCTGGTGCAGAGTGCATAGGCATACTGTTTATGGCTTCTTCAAAATCTAGTGGGGATAGGGCGACGTCTGATATGTGATTTGATGTTGGTATCATATCCATGAAAAATTCATTTGGGTTATCAATCTTTAGTGCATTTAATGGCTCACTGAAAACAGAGTCGTACTGCTTCCTCAGTAACTCGCTCATTTCTTTGTTGTCATCTGTGAAAGTTCCATCTCCCTTTCGCAGGGGCCCGATACTAGATGTGGTTTTTGATCTTGATTTTGCATAGGAGAAAAAATATTTCGGATTTCTCTCTATTTCACTGATGGCCTTTTGCTCTCTTTGCCTCTCCTGGGTTTTGTATGATTCTTGTAGCTTGAGTTCAATTGTTTCTATTTCTCTACCTAACCTTCTTCGCCGTTCTTGAGACAGGGTGCGACTCTCAAGTTGTTCCGCGATTCGTTTTCTTCGCCTATATAAGGAACGACGTTCCCGTTCCAATCTGCATCTCTTTCTCTTTTTTCTTAGGGGTATGCGGTTTGAACATATTTCTAGTGCAACCCGTTCTCGCAAATTCGTAAAGTCAATATTGACTTATTAACTACGTGCATAGGTGATATACTAAACATAAAAGATACCCTTAAAAAGATTCATAGAAAACACCGACCTTACCTAACCTTGTTAGTATCTTAAGATAAGCATCTTATTGCTTCGTAATTAAAATTATTACTTAACCTATACCTATTATAGGTTAGGTAATAATTGTAATTACGAAGCAATAAGATACTTATCTTAACATACTAAGTAGGTTAGGTAAGGTCGGTGTTTTCTATGAATCTTTTTAAGGGTATCTATTATGTTAAGTATGTCACCTATGCACATATTTAATAAGTCAATATTGACTTATTAAATTTGCGAGAACGGGTTGTTCTAGTGCTACTGAGCTTATTTTTTCCAGGCACTGGTTCAGGTTTGCATTTCCTAGCTGTTCTTCCCAGTTTATTTCTGTGAAGTCCTGGTTTATTTGCTCCCAGTTTATCCGTTTATTATTGAAGTTGAATTTGCTGAAATCTCCTCCACCGGGAATCTGGACTGGTTTTGGAGGTCCATTCCCCATGGTTGTCAGTACCTCAATTAAGTTGTGATCTGAGTAACAGGTATTTGTAATCATTATGTTCCCGATCAACTCATCATTATTAGTGAAAATGAGGTCCAGCGTGTTCTCCTTCCTAGTTGGTTCTACTATTTGCTGGTTTAAGGCAAACCTATCGCACATCCGTAGCAGGTCATTTGCATGCGCCTGCTCATTTAGGCTACTTCCTGGTATTCTTTCTGATATTACTGTATTAGCCAGGTGCTTCCATTTCAGGTGCCGTAGGTTGAAGTCCCCAAGCAGGATGATGTTCGGAGCTGGATTTGTGAGGTTTTCCAAGCAGTGCTCTATTTTCATTAGTTGGTCTTTAAACTGCTGAGGGTTTGCCTCCGGTGACTTATATACAAGGACAACAACTACATTTAGGATCTCTATTTTGACTATCAGCACTTCCACCATATCATTTGAGGTGTTTAGCAGCTCAGTACAGATGAGTGTGTCTTTGATGTAGAGGCTGACCCCACCCTGAAGCCGGTGTTTCCTATCACATCTGAAGAGATTGTATTCTGGGATCCATATTTCACCATCAAGGTAGTCCTTTGTGTGAGTTTCCGTTAGGGCTGCAGTCGATGGTCGATGACCCGGTCGATGGCAGACATAGAATGCTTCCAACCACTCAGGGGATTCTATAGGCCATTGCTCCCCTTGCCTCTGAGGGGGCCAAGTTCTGGCCATGGTCCCCTGTAGGCCCTAGAACTCCATACACATGACTGATGCCAAAGTCTGACATTAGCATATCAGCCTGGTAAAGCTCCGGGGAGCCTCCGGGTCTCGCCCAGAAATTGGCGTTTCATTACATTCAACGTTGTTTTTTTTTTTTTTTAAATAGTAAGACATGGTTTGACATTTAGAAGTAAGGTAGGTTACCTGGAGTTAATTAGGTAGTACTTAGTTTTCATCTTAAACTGGTTGAGAGAGGTACAATCTTTGACATAATTGGGAAGGTCATTCCACATTCTGGGTCCCTTGATTTGAAGAGCATCCCTAGTTTGATTAAATCTGACTCTTGGAATAACAAATAGGTATTTGTTTCTCAACCTGTCCTCTTAAAAATAATGTCACTTTTGGCTCGTATGCGCGCTATGGTCAAATTTGGACATAATTTGAAATGAAATTGACTCACAAAAGTGACGTACTGTTCCGTTTTCTGTTTGAGTCGTCCGGCTTACTCGGCAAGCTTAGAAAAGGCAACTTTCCTTTAACGTTTTTCATACCGTTTTGAAACTATGAGAAATTCCTGCCCACCTAACCTATCAGAGGACCCTTAACTTACTGTTGTTGAAAAATATAATCCCAAATTTATTTTCATTTTTTGTTAATTTTCAAATTACGTCCATATGAGGTGTGGGTAGCCGTTGTGAAAGGTCTGGGCCTTCCCCTTCCTCCTCCCGGGGAAGGGGGAGCTGTGCAGACAGCGGCGCGGCGACGTCTGATGTCATACTAGTTGCTCGTTTTCTGTTGGGGAGTTCTATCCACTAGTTCGGCTTTTGGTAGCAATTTTAACCAGAATAGGAGTTTGTTTTGGGGCATTTACCTTTCTGGGTGCCTGATCCGGTCAATGGCAGACATAGAATGCTTCCAACCACACGGGGGTTTCTTTAGGCAATTGCTCCCCTTGCCTTTCTGAGGGGGGCCCGGTTCTGGACGTTGTCCCCGGTAGGCCTAAGAACTCCATACACATGACTGATGCCAAAGTCTGACATTAGCATATCAGCCTGGGATAGCTCCGGGGAGCCTCCGGGACTCACCCAGAAAATGGCGTTTCATTACATTCAACGCTGGTTTTATTCATGATGTATTGGAATTGCAGGTGTGGAAAAGATGACCATGGATTTAACCCATTCAACCAAACAGTCTCCATTGTACTTCGTAGTCGCCTGAACTCTGGTTTAGGTGTAATTCCTTTTGAAAAAAATGGAATGACAATTAAAGAAGAACCAATTGATGAAGGCCAAGACGATGATGACAGTATTCAAGAGGAGATCAAATATACTGAATTAGTGAATAAAGGCAAGTAATGTGAGTGGCTGGAGTAAAGACAAATGTTTGTGTTATACAGTTACTGTGCCAATGTGTCCAGCAACGCACAGATTGTATAAGGGAGGTGTGTTTCTGGTGTGGCCTCATGCAAATATACTTGTGCAAATTAAAGTTAAGGCTGTGTTGGGGAAAATAAGGATGCATTAGGGACCAACTTTCTGGGGAAAGCCCTGTCGGCTCCCCGGAGCTATCCAGGCTGAATGGATATGTATAACTTTCTGGGATCAGTCAAAGTGCTAGGAGTTCTTACCTACTGGGGACCATGAGCTAGAACCTGGCTCCCTCAGAAAGGCACGAGGAGCAATGGCCTATAGAAACCCCCCATGTGGTGGGGAACATTCTATGTCTGCCATCGACCGGTACAGGCACCGAGAAAGGTAGGCGTCCCAAAACAAACCCCCATTCTGGTTAAAATATTGCTACCGAAAGCCAAACGAGTGGACAGAACTGCCGGCAATCCAACCGGCAGTTCTTAGGCTGGATGTCAAAATATGCTAAAAACACCGCCGACCAAGAGAGGGAGGGATGCCGGGGAGCCTCCAGGACTAACCTAGAAAATGGCATTTCATTACATTCAAAGCTGGTTTTCTGTGGGGAGCCCCTACGGCTCCCTGGAGCTTATCGGGCTAATGTATGTTATATTAGACATTAGCTAAGGAGTTCAGACCTACCAGGGACCAGCGCCAGAACCTGGCCCCTTCAGAGAGGTTTCAGGGAGCAATGGCCCTGGAAAACCCCTTTGTGGTTGGGGTTTTCCTTATCTGCCATCGACCGGGGTTTGCACCCAGAAAGGTAGGCATAACAAAACAAACCCCACATGGTAAAAAACTAAAACAAAAAAATGAACAGAGAGGTAGAAACTCACTACAATCCCAAGGAAACAAGCAAACAAGCAAACATCACACTTTACTGCCGCGCCGATCGTCCGTGCAGCCCTCCCCGCCCCGAGAGGGGGAGGGGGAAGTCCCAGACCTACCACGACGGCTGCTTAGCATCAGTTCGTAAGCTAATGTCAACCGGGATAGACGCTTCTCTGGCCTCAGTTTCCTAGGCGTTGTTTGCCTTGTGTAGTGTTCACTGCAGTGTGTTGTGTTGTGCGGTGGCCAGGAGTACCTCGTCAGTGCCGGGGCTGCATGCGCTTAGGGGCTTCCTTCCCTAAGCGCCCTGTGAGTACTGCCCCTGCATGACAGGGTTAGCTTCCCTGGGGCGTTCGGGAACCATTCCCGTAGAGGCTCTTGCTGCTCGGCGTTTGCCTCGCCCTTGGGGCCAGCTGGGGCTTGGGGCCCCAGCCTTACCAGCCTCTTATGCGGTACTGTGTCAAAAGCGTTCCGACAATCCAAGAAAATGCAGTCCACCCAGCCCTCTCTTTCTTGCTAAATCTTTGTCACTTCAGGCTTACCACTTTTGTTGCTTTCCCTATTTTGTAATTGGCACTTGGTGTAATTACGCATCTTTACCGGATCTTGGTGCCCTGTCTGAATCTGCTTGGAATTGGGTGTCTGGCCTACCTCAACGACTGGCTGGTGTGGCCTCCCAGTCGGTGTGCTTTTCTGCTCGCCAGGGGTGTGGTTCTTTCCTGATCACCGGGTTTGGTTTCCTGGTGATCCGGAGGTCATTCCATTTGTTTCTGTCCCGAGTTCGGACCTGGCTGGGTCTTGTTTAGGGTTCTTGGGCCGCTCCTTGTCTTTCCCTCCAGAACTGTTGCTGCAGCTGTGGTCCCGCCTTCGGCTGTTCATGAGGGGATCCCGGGTTGCTGGGCGGTTGCTCGAGCAGTTGTGCGGGAGTCTGAACTTTGACGTGCTGGTCTGCCCGCAGGGTCGGGTTTGGCTTCGGCGTCTGTTTGGTTCCTGCGGAGACTCCCCTTCCGCCTTTCTTGCAATCGTTGGGTTCGTTAATCCGGGATCTTGTGTTGGTGCTGCGTCACCAGCTTTCTCTATGGGGTTTTCGGGGTTCCATTCCTTGGCACCTCCCTGAGCCTTTGCTCGATGTGTTCTCGGACGGGTCATCTCTCGGCTGGGGCTTTGTGACCAGTGCTCACCAGGTCAGCCGGGGATGGTGGAATCTGTCTGTCCGTCGGGCTCACAGCACGGTTCGGGAGTTCGTGGCTGTCTGGTTTGCGCTTCGGAGGGTTTGGGTCACTTGGTGCTCTACCATTCAGCTCCATTCGGACTGTTCTCTGGCGGTTCTTTGCCAGGACCACAGGGGTTTCTCTTAGGTGTTTGACTTTTGGGGTTGGTCCCTTAGAGTGGCTCGTTTGCTGGCTTCTCTGGTTTGACAGCTGTCTTGGTTCATTCCTCTGTTCACGGATTGGCCAGTCGTCGCCGACTCGTGGTTTGTTGGCTCTGCTGTACGTATGGACTCCTGACCATGGACGTCTTCGAGTCGGCATGGTCTAGGCGTTGCCCATTCTATGTGGCGCCCTTATCCACCTGGGAGGCGTTCATGGTGGGTGCCTTTCGGCAGGACTAGTCGAGGTGGGGGTACCTGTTCCTCTTCTCCCGGTCCAGCTGTTGCTTCGGGTTCTGGCTCGGTTGGAGCCCATTCCCACGAGAGTAGTCCTTATGGTATCTTGGTGGCCGGCCCAGCTTTATTTTCAGTCGCTGCTTGATAGGTGTCCGAACCCAGGACGTTTTCACGCGGCTCCGCCTCTTTCAGCAGGTCGGACCGGTCCTGTACGTGACTGGTTCGGCCTTCTCCTTGGCTCTTCGCGTCTGGTATTTTAACGCGGATATCACCATCTGTGTGGCAATCGGGGGGCTTTGTTGATGGTGTCTCACCTGCGAGCTTCGTCTCGGCGACAGTATGACGTTCCTGGTGTTTCTATGCACTTTCTCTTGCTCTTCGTAGGTTGTCTTCTCATTCGTATCGGGTTGTCTTGTCCTTTCTTGGGTTTTCAGGACTACAGTTTTTGATGTTTCTTACTGTCGCCTCGATTTGTGTGGTGCTGGCAGAGCCGCTCCGGCTTGCATTCAGGGTGGACGTCACATCTGCCCCGTTTCGTACGCTTTCTCGTGTTTTGTTTCACCTCCGACCTGCTCATGCGTCATCTGAACTGTCCTGGTCCTTGATCAGGGTGCCTTCTTATCTTCTTAGTTTGTGGTAGCCACCTAAGTGGCAACCGGTTCCTGTTGCCTCTGGGGACGGTGTACTTTTGCGGGGTTTTTCTTTTGTTTTTATTTTCATGCCTGGTGGGGGTCTGCCTACTGTGGCTATAGTTCCACTGGTAGTGTTTGGCGGCCCTCTGCTAGGCCCCTGTGATTGTACACGTCTCAGGGGTTTTCAGTGCTATCCCCAACCAGTTTAGCAACACCTTGCCCGGGCTTCCCGTAGCAGTCAGCCTACGGGCCCTGGAAACCCCTTCTGGGCTCGGGGGACCATTTGAATGTGTCTTCCGGGTTCCAACCCGTCTTGTACGGGATCGTTGGTTGCTGTGCCCTTGTCTCCGGGTGACAGTCGCCACTTTTACCTCCGTCATGCTGCCTGTTGGGTCACTGACACCTTGACCCGGAGTCTTGCGAGAGATTTTCTCTGCTTGTTCTCCAGCACTCGCCTGATGTTATTACTGTTCAGAGTACAGGCGGCATCTGTGTTGCAAGCTAGGTTAGGTTGCTGCAACATGCTAGGTTGGTATCCCACTCGGATGCCCCGAGGCCGCCCCGTTTTGGTTAGGTGTTGTTCGCCCCTTGCCCTCCCTGTTCCCGGCTCCGGACCGTCTGCGGGTTTCGGGGGTCAGGGCGGGGTTTAGTTAGACTCGGGTGGTTTTCGGGGGCTGCCCTGTTCGGGTTGGGGGGAGGAGGTTTTCGAGCCGGTTCCTCCTGCCAAGGCTTCTGGGTCTTACCAGCGGCCCTTTCTTGTTGCCTTTCCCATGGACTCTTGCTTTTCTTTAAGGGCGGAGGGCTTGGAGGACGGCTCTGCCCCGGGGCCTCTGTTGTTGGTTCCCGGGGCTGTGGGGGATGCCTGCTACCAGTTCTGGGGCGATTTGCCCCTGCCTGGGTTTTTCTGTTTTTGGGTGGGGTTTTTCGCCCATTCAGTCTGCTTGCTTCCCACTTTTGCTGGTGTGTTTTTGTATATTTAGCGTCAATCACAGCCCCTGCTGGCGGCCATTTTCATCTGCCGGTTTCCCGGCATGGCTACCAGGGCGGCGATGCGGTTTGTTTACATGCATCTGGGTGTGTGAGCGAGCTTCTTGGGTGAGTTTTCACATTTTTTCAGGGGTTTTATTCTCCTGTTGTCGTTTCTTTGCTTTTCTGGTGTTTTCTGCCTGTTGGCTGTTCCTCTGGGAACATTTGAGTGTTGATTTTACACCGGGTTTTCCATTTTGTCTGTTTTGGGTCTGGGCCTTTGGGTTTGGGCTCAGTGTCCCATGGCTGTTATGCTTGCTCCCACACCTTGTCCCTCGGTTTTCGGTCTGTTATGACCGTTTTCCCAGGGGGTTCTGTCTGGGGGCTGTGCTTTGCCTTCTGTGGTGTTTCTCCGTCGGCAAAATGTGATGTTTGGCCTCCCAATAGTTCGATTCCTGGTTCCTTTGGGTTCTTTGGTTTCGTTCCGGAGGTTTCTTCCTCTTGGGCCCCCTTTGTGGGTTCAGAGGGCTTTGTTTCCTCATGTGTGACCCGGTTTCTGCCTTCTGGAGTTCCGGGGTCTTCCTGGCTTGCAGACTGATCTTTTTGGGTCTTGGCACATGTTGTGGTCGTGCTGGGACTTTGAGTTTTTTTCGAGGTGGGCCTTTTGATGCAGTTTTGTACCTTCTTTGCCTGGCCGGCGGCTTGTATTTTTCTTTTCAAGTGTATGTGTGTACGCATGTACATGTGTACACTGTGTGTGTGTGCACATGTGTATGTGCATACGCACATGTGTGTCACATACCTAGTGTGTATGTGTATGTGTATATATATGGTATGTATATATGTGTATGTGTATTTTTTCTTTCAGAACGGGCTCTGTTCCCTTCTCTGTAGACGGAGCGCTGGGAGAGCAGCTTGCTCTGTTGTCTCTCGTATGGTCCTGCTGTTGGTGGGCGCTTTTGGTTGTCTTCCGGCCTCTGGTGGTGGCGGTGGACGGCTTCTCCCCCTTTAGGGGGTTCAGAGCTGGCAGGGTGGGCTTCTTCCCCTGCGCTTCGTCATGTCATCTTAGTGGGTGCGTTGGGCATGGTCGATCTGCCCCATCCTTCTGGGGTTCCCGTCTGCTCTTTGCAGACATGGGCCTTCGAATCTGCGGTTCTTCTGGACTTCTTCAGTCTGCGCCCTGGTTTCTATGCCCTCCTCGGAGAACTGTTGTCTCCTGTCTGGCTTCTGTTGGGGCCGGGTGCTTGGATGGTGCCCCTGGACCTCCAGGTCAATTATTGGCACTTGGTGTTTTTTTTGCATGTTTACCGGATCTTGGTGCCCTGTCTGAGTCTGCTTGAGATTCGGTGTCTGGCCTACCTCAACTGGCTGGTGTGGGCTCCCTGTCGGTCCTCTTGTCTGCTCGCCAGAGGGTGGTTCTTTCTAGATCGCCGAGTTTGGATTCCTGGTGATCTGGAGGCCATTCCATCTGTTTCCATCCTGGGTTCGGACCTGGGCCTTGTTTAGGGCTTTTGGGCCACTCATTGTCTTTCCCTCCAGAAGTGTTACTGCGGCTGTGGTCCCGCCTTCGGCTGTGCATGAGGGGGTCCCGGGTTGCTCGAGCGGTTGTGCGGGAGTCTGAACTTCGACGTGCTGGTCTGCCCGCGGGGTCGGGTTTGGCTTCGGCGTCAGTTGATTCCTTCAGAGACTTCCCTTCTGCCTCATGCAATCGTTGGGTTCGTTCCTCCGGGATCTTGTGTTGGTGCTGTGTCTCCAGCTTCCTCTTCGGGGTTTTCGGGGTTCCGTGCCTTGGCACCTCCCCGAGCCTTCTCTCGATGTGTTCACGGACGGGCCATCTCTCGGCTGGGGCTTTGTGACCAGTGCTCACCAGGTCGGCCGGGGATGGTGGAATCTGTCTGCCCGTCGGGCTCACAGCACGGTTCGGGAGTTCGTGGCTGTCTGGTTTGCGCTTCAGGGGGTTTGGGTCATCCGGTGCTCTACCATTCAGTTCCATTCTGACTGTTCTCTGGCGGTTCTTGCCGGAACCACAGTGTTTCTCTTAGGTGTTGTCCTTTGGGGTTGGTTTCGTGGAGTGGCTCGTTTGCTGGATTCTCGGGGTTTTGCTAACCGTGAGTTTCATGTCCGGTGTGTGTCCTGCGTCCTGGCGGAAAGCTGTCTCGGTTCATTCCTTTGTTCGCGGATTGCCCAGTCGTCACCAACTCGTTTCATTGGCTCTGCCGGACATATGGACTCCTGGCCATGGATGTTCTTCGAGTCGGCATGGTCTAGACGTCGCCTTTTTTATGTGGCGCTCTTCTCCGCCTGCGAGGTGTTCCCGTTGGATGCTTTTCGGCAAGATTGGTCGAGGTGGGGGTACCTGTTCCTCTTCTCCCGGTCCAGCTATTGCTTCGGGTTCTGGCTCGGTTGCAGCCCATTCCCACGAGAGCAGTCCTTATGGTTTCCTTGGTGGCCGGCCCAGCTTCCAGCTTCTTTTCTGAAACTGCTTGATAGGTGTCCGAACTCAGGGCGTTTTCCCGCGGCTCCGCCTCTTTTGGCAGGTCGGATCGATCCTGTACGTGACTAGTTCAGCCTTCTCCTCGGCTCTTCGCGTCTGGTATTTTGACGCGGGTATCACCATCTCTTTAGTGTTCAGGTGGCCTTGTTGACGGTGTCCCACTTGCGAGTTTCATCTTGGTAACAGTATAATGTTCCTGGTGTTTCTATGCACTTTTTCTTGTTCTTTGTACGTTGTCGTCTCTTTCACATCGGGTTGTCTTGTCCTTTCTGGAGGTTTTCTGGACTACAGTTAATTGATCTTTTCTTACTGTTGCCTCGTTTTATGTGGCGCTGGTGGAGCCGCTCCGGCTTGCGTTCAGGATGGACGTCATATCTGCTCCGTTTCCTACGCTTTCTCGTGTTTTGTTTCACCTCCGGCCTGGTCATGCGTTGCCTGCGCCATCCTGGTCCTTGATAAGGGTGCCTTCTTCTTCTCAGTTTGTGGTAGCCCCTTCGGTTCAGGTTTCTGCTCCTTAGTACTGGGAGTAGATTTGTATGTGTGCAGCCTTTCTCCGTCCTGGCGACGGTCGAGACGGCTGATTTCCGGAGGGGTTCTTGGGTTATTGATGCTTGATTGGTTTGGCCGGGGGTGCGTCCTGTGTTGTCCGGTTGCACTTTTTGCCGTTACCTGCGTACCGTATCTGGGGTTGCGCTTTGGTTGATCCTGTTCCCCTTGTTCCCTGTTTCAGGGCTCGGGTCTCCCAGGTCATCCGCAGAGTTTTTCAGTTTTCCCGCCTGCCGTCTGTCTTTACGCCCGTGCTGTTCAGATGTTTGCAGCTTTTGCTGCTGTGTTGGTGACGTCTAGGGCTCATTTTGGGCGCAGGGAATTGAGGGTCGCACAGGTTTTTGGGCGCCCGTTCTTTATGCGCGTCTGCTCCTGTGCGTTCTTGTTGCCTTGGGTCGCAGGTTGCATCCTTTTGTCTCTGCTTTGCGTTGCGGAGTTTGTGGCGGCCGCCTCCCGGGTTAGCCCTTTCTTTTCCTTCTCTTTGGGTATGAAGCTCCAGGGGAGCCGTAGGGGCTCCCCACAGAAAACCAGCGTTGAATGTAATGAAACGCCATTTTCTGGGTGAACCCCCGAGGCTCCCTGGCAACCCTCCCTCCAACCGGTCGGCGTTTTTTTCGCGTTGGTTGAAGCTTAGCTTCCGAACTAGAGCTTGGCAGCCGGCGCAGTAGGTCCGGGGCTCCCCCTCCCCCTCTCGGGGTGTGGAGGGCTGCACGGACGATCGGCGCGGCAGTAAAGTGTGATGCTTGCTTGTTTCCTTGGGATTGTAGAGAGTTTCTACCTCTCTGTTCGACTTTTTCTTTTAGTTTTTTACCATGTGGGGTTTGTTTTGTCATGCCTACCTTTCTGGGTGCCTGACCCCGGTCGATGGCAGATAAGGAAAACCCCAACCACAAGAGGGTTTTCCAGTGCCATTGCTCCCTGAAACCTCTCTGAAGGGGCCAGGTTCTGGCGCTGGTCCCTGGTAGGTCTGAACTCCTTAGCTAATGTCCCGGTCTAATATAACATACATTAGCCCGATTAGCTCCAGGGAGCCTCCGGGGCTCACCCAGAAAATGGCGTTTCATTACATTCAACGCTGGTTTTTTGGCTGCAAATTAGTGTAAATCGTGGGCTACCTGTGTTGTATTAAATTACAAGCTTGTGGCTATAGTCGCAAATGATACCGAGACCACATTGAAGTGCTTATTTTGATCATTTTGGTTGTGCCTCTGAATAGCTTTTAATATCATATTTTTAACATTATGTTTCTTTTTCCAGTTCTTCCACCAGAAATTAGAGTGGTGGCGTGGTGTCCAGTACAGCCGGGTTATCCTGAGAGGTTTGATAGTCCACTCTGCACTTACAAATATTTCTTTCCAAGAGGAAATTTAAATATACATGTTGGTAAAATATTTAATTTATTTTTATTTTACTATCTTACCTAAATCTGTATCATACCAGACTTTATAAAAGAAGTACTATACTGTAATTGATATCATACCTGTGATGGTTAATTATCATTGAGCTTTTAAAACAACAAAATTTATACTCTGGTTATCTCTTCTCTCACTTTCCACCTCTGATACTTCTCTTCCGTGGAGAGCCCCTTCAGCTTCTCGGAGCTATGCCAGGCTGATGTGTATATATATTAGACCATGGCAACAGTCAATCGATGGAGTTCTAGGCCTACTGGGGACCAGCACCAGAACCTGGCCTCCTCAGAGAGGTATAAGGAGCAATGGCCTGTAGACACATCCGTGTAGTTGGAAGCAATCTGTATCTGCCATCTACCAGGTCAGGCTCCCAGAAAGGTAGGAATCTCAAAGCAAGCTACAGCTCATGAAAAAATTGCTAACCCAAAAGCCGAACGAGCAAACAGAACTCCCAATCAGAAAACAAACAAACAAGCATGATGTCACCACAGCTGCCACACTGCAGTCGGCACAACTCCCCCCTCCCTGGGAGGGGAAAGGGGGGTCCCAGACCTCCCACGCCAGCTACCCAACCCCAGTTCAGTTGCTGTTGTGTTTGGTGGTGGTCAATCGATTCTGGCTCCATCCTTTTGAGCAGTGCTGTCCATAGCGGCGGTGTTCTTCTGTGGGGTGGTGTGCGAGCCAGGAGTAACACGAGTACTGGGGCTGCATATGCCTAGGGCCACCTCACCTAGGTGCCCTGTAAGTACTTCCCTTGGGGGCTTGGGGTTACCTTCCACAAGCCTTCTTGGGATCTATCTCTGTTGTGTCTTTTGCTGCTCGGTGATTGACCGCCCTTAGAGTCAGCTGGGGTGGTTATTGCTCCCGTTTGCCTCTGGGTAGAGGGTAGTTTTCGTCACTGATTGGGACGCAGGGTACTGTGCAGCTAGTTATCACCTCTCATAGCGGCCGGCTCTGTTCCGCATAGGTACGTTGTCCTCTTGCAGGATTTTCTTTTTCTTTTTCCTGCCTGGTGGAGGGTTTGCTTTTTGGTTTAGTCACACCCCTTAGAGTTTTGATGGTTCTCTGCTAGGCCCCCGTGAGTGTACACGTCCCGGAGGGTTCAGTTATAGCAGTTTGTTTGGTAGTTTTTGGGTGCTGGTTAGCAGTACCCTGCCTGCTTGATACCTGCTTGATGGGGTTCTGGGAGTTCTTCTACTCCCCAAGTCCGGCCTGAGGCCAGGCTCGACTTGTGAGAGTTTGGTCCACCAGGTTGTTGCTTGGAGCGGCCCGCAGGCCCACATACCCACCACAGCCCGGCTGATCCGGAACTTCTCTTAGAAAACAGTCCAGTTTTCTCTTGAAGATGTTCATGGTGGTTCCGGCAATATTTCTTATAGTCGCTGGGAGGACATTGAACAACCGCGGACCTCTGATGTTTTTTACAGTGCTCTCTGATTGTGCCTATGGCACCTCTGCTCTTCACTGGTTCAATCTTGCATTTTCTTCCATATCGTTCACTCCAGTACGTTGTTATTTTACTGTGTAGATTTGGGACCTGGCCCCTCCAGTATTTTCCATGTGTATATTATTTGGTGTATCTCTCGTCTCCTTTCTAGAGAGTACATTTGGAGAGCTTTGAGACGATCCCAATAATTTAGGTGTTTTATCTCGTCTATGCGTGTCGTATATGTTCTCTGTATTCCCTCTATTTTAGCAATCTCTCCTGCTCTGAAGGGGGAAGTGAGTACTGACCAGTACTGGACACGGGACAACACAAGTGACTTGAAGAGTACAACCATTGTGGTGGGATCCCTGGATATGAAAGTTCTCGTGATCCATCCGATCATTTTTCTGGCTGACACAATATTTGCTTGGTTATGCTCCCTAAAAGTTAGATCGTCGGACATCATTATTCCCAAATCCTTGACATGCTGTTTTTCTACTATGGGAAGATTCGATTGTATTTTGTACCCTGTATTATGTTTCAGATCCTCATTTTTGCCGTACCTGAGTACCTGAAATTTATCACTGTTAAACATCATGTAATTTTCTGCTGCCCAATCAAAAACTTTGTTGACATCTGCTTGTAATTTTTCAATGTCTTCAGCAGAGGTAATTTTCATGCTGATTTTTTAGTCATCTGCGAAGGATGCCACGAAGCTGTGACTTGTATTTTTTTCTATATCTGATATGAGAATAAGGAACAGCAGTGGTGCAAGGACTGTACCTTGAGGTACAGAGCTTTTAACATCGCTTGGACTCGATTTTTTCTGATTGACTGTTACTCAGTGTTCTGTTCAACAGGAAATTGAGTATCCAGCATCCTACTTTTCCAGTTATTCCCATTGACCTCATTTTGTGAGCTATCACCCCATGGTCACATTTGTCGAATGCCTTTGCAAAGTCTATGTATACAACATCTGCATTTTGCTTTTCTTCTAGAGCTTCTGTGATTTTGTCATAATGGTTGAGTAACTGTGACAGACAGGATCTTCCCACTTTAAATCCATGTTGTCCTGGGTTGTGCAAGTCATTGTTTTTCATAAAACTAGAAATTTGATTTCTAATCACTCTTTCAAACCCTTTTATTATGTGTGATGTTAGTGCAACTGGCCTATAATTTTTTGCCAAGGCTTTACTCCCCTCCTTGTGCAACGGAGCTATATCTGCAGATTTAAGTGCTGCTGGTATCTCCCCTGTATCCAGGCTCTTTCTCCATATTACACTGAGTGCTCTCGCTACTGGTACTTTACATTTCTTTATGAATATTGAATTCCATGAGTCAGGCCCAGGAGCTGAGTGCACAGGCATAATGTCAATTGCTCTTTCAAAGTCTTCTGAGTTTGTGGTAATATCCGTTATATTATCTGCAGCTTGAATGTCATTCATAAAGAAGCTGTCTGGGTCATCAACTTTCATGTTTATTGGTGTGCTAAACATAGCCTCATACTGGCTTCTTAGAATTTCACTAATCTCTTTGTTGTCCTCTGTGTATGTACCTTCATTTGTAATTAACGGTCCAATACTGGTCGAGGTTTTTTATTTTGATTTCGCATGTGTGCCAGGGCTTCCCTTAGTGAGATTACTCAACTAAGGGCCCTGGGAACTCAACAAGGGCTCTCTGGTCCCCTGGATGCGACATGTGGGTACCCTCTCGCTTCGTGCGAGTTTGAAGGTTGCTCTGTCCCCTTGTCTCAGGGTGATGCTCACCTGTTGTGCCTCCGTCATGCTGCCAGTTGGGTTGGTGACACTTTCGACCCGGAATCTTGCGAGTTTTGTTCCTTGCTCGTACTTCAATTCACCCAGTTCACTGATCATGATCTACAGGTGCAGGCAGCTTCGGTTATGCATGCTCAGTTTAGGTTGCTGCAACGCACCAGGTTGATTGCTAACCCAGATGCCCCGAGATTGCCCCGTTTTGGTTATAGGGACCTGGACTTGGGGGTGTTTGTCACCTCGACTTTTGTTCCGTTCACTCCCGTCCACTCCCCCTAGTCCTTCCCCTTCTGTTGTTCGTCCTGGTCCTCCCCCCCCACCTCCTTGCTTCCGGCTCCAAAGTGTTTTACCTAACTGTAGTTACAGGATGAGAGCTACGCTCATGGTGTCCCGTCTTCCCAGCACTCTTTGTCATATAACGCTTTGAAACTACTGACGGTCTTGGCCTCCACCTCCTCCTCACCTACCTTGTTCCAACCGTATACCACTCTGTTTGCGAAAGTGAATTTTCTTGTATTTCTTCGGCAACTGTGTTTAGCTAATTTAAATCTATGACCTCATGTTCTTAAAGTTCCAGGTCTCAGGAAATCTTCCCTATCGATTTTATCAATTCCTGTTACTATTTTGTATGTAGTGATCATATCACCTCTCTTTCTTCTGTCTTCTAGTTTTGGCATATTTAATGCCTTTAACCTCGTCTGAGGGTTTCGGAGTCCGGGCAGGGTTTAGTTGGCTTTGAGACTCGGGTGGTTACGGGGATGCCCCTTCCGGCGTGGCGATGGAACCATTGAAGTCTGGGCCTCTGGTCGAAGCTTCTGAGTCTGACCTGTGGGCCCCCTTCGTTCTGGCTTTTTCAACTCCTCCTGCCTTTTCTTTTGAGGCAGTGGGGCTTGGAGGAAGGCTCGGCCCCGGGCCCTCATGGTGGGGTCAACCCCTCCCCTGCCCTGGGGTTCCCGGGGGCAGGAGAGGGGTTGATTTGAGGGCCTTAGGCCCCATTGGACCCCGCTTGGGCTTTTGTACCCTTTGAGCAGGGGTTAGTGTTACAAGGCGCAGGGTTTTCTTTTTCCCGTCTTCGTACGAGTTGAATTTGGCATCTACCGCTCCCCAGGTTCGTTACCGTGATCCTGTGGGTTCATCGGTTCCATCCTTCCGGGGGTTTTCGGTCTCTCGCATCCCACTGCATGTGATGCAGGAGGCCATTGTGGCTTACCACCTGTGCGACCCGGATTATGCCACCATAATGGATCCGTCTTCTTTCATGTATGAATCTTCTTGTCCTTACTGGGTTCGTTATGAGGTTCTGGAGTCGGCCTCGTTTGCTGACTACACTTTTTTCTCATTGGAGGTGTGGCATTCATTTTGCCAGTCCTGCCCGCTTGAGTAGTGCGAAGCTCATACGAGGCTCAGTCAAGGTGTCCAGGCTTTTCCTGGGGGGCGACTTTGAGCACCTCAATGCATAGTTGTTTGCCCCCTGCCCTTCCTCAGGATGTTGGTGTGGTGCAGCTGCATGTGCAGGTTCCTTCCCTTTTGGCTGCTTTGGTCGCTGAGAACTTGCATGCTGGTAGCCTGTTGGCTTCGATCTTGCGTTTCTTTTCCCTTCTCGAGCTGTCTTCAGACTGGCTTGAGGAGAATGTGGAAGCACTTGGGGCCGCTCCTGGATCAGGTAAATTGGCTTCGGCAGTGAGTGCATCGGCTGCGCTTTTGAAGCTGTTTGTGCCGATCCTATGGGATGCAGTGTCGCTGTTGTTTGCTTCATGGTTTGCAGTATC